TTTGGGCCGTTCACACGTGCAGGATGAGGTCTGGACTGTCGGATTGCCAAACATGAGGATCGCTTGCGTGGTGCCGATGTCAACCTGCTTTCCATGTAAATTATCCCAGACAAATCTTTGGGTCCGGATATTAAAGAATCATTAAAATTAGTCTAATTAAATAATTTTTTATTCTTTTAATTATTTCTATATCATAATTTTTTCTAAAAAGGTCACATCATAAATTAAGAAAGGTAATAAATCTACTATAGATATTCCTATTTTATAGCTAATAATTATATATCTTAATAAATCTAGTATTAAATTATCATATCAAATGGTTCATTTAATCTCTTATCATTAAACAGAATATTAATAAATACATATATATATATATATATATAACACGAACGTCATGCTAACTTAATATTATCGCTAAATTTAGACCGTTGAAACCCATGTAATACATTTGACCATCGGTATCCTTTAATAATATAAGTTTGACTTGTTAAGATTTGACTAGACCCCATACGGGGAGTTGACCCCACTGGATCGCTACCCCCCACCCGCCACCTTCACGACTCAGCAAATCAGGCACTAAACCGGCAAATGACTCAGTGTCCACGTCATCACACACTCAGTGTTTTCCACTTCCTCCCATGTCCCATTTCCCACCACTCCCCTCCGTTTACGTTTTCCGCTTTCTCTTTCCATGGAAGAACACCACCACCAACAGCAGCCACTGTATGGTTCTCTGCGCCGCCCCGCGCTTTCCCTCACTCTCCATTCTCCCCCCTACACTGCCCGTCTGATGGACCACTATGGTCTCCGTTTTCGGTCCGACGGCGCTGTCGATCCCGCAAACGCCGTCGGTGATTGTGAGCCTCATCGGTACTACTCGAAGCCCGTCGTGGTGCTCGATCTGATATGGAACATGGCCTTTGTGGTTGTCTCCGTGGTGGTGCTGTTGTCTGCGTTTCGAGAGAGGCCATCCACTCCGTTACGCCTCTGGATTTGTGGATATGCTCTGCAGTGCGCTTTGCATGTCGGTTTCGTCTATCTCGAGTATCGGACAGAGATTAGAGACGATCCCGCGGTTGCCGGTGCTCTGTCCTCCACTCAGACTCAGAGCGGGTAAGTTAAGCTTCTTCTTAGTAAATGCCTTTTCTTGGTTAATAAATTCGTGCAAGATTGTCTAATTGTTTTTAATTGATCAATTTTCCATACTGATTCAGTTGATTGTATATGTTTAGTCTCCATTGCCGGTTTTTGCATTTAAGTTCTGAGTCTGTAATGGTTATGCCGTACAGTCGATCCATATACTGACAATTAAATGAAATTAATTGCAGTTTCAATTTCCACCCAAATTGTGTTGGCCTGAACGAGAAATTCGTGGCTGGTTTCACATGTTTTTGTTTTCTTTCGTCATGTGAATTTCACATTTCTAAAACAAAAACAGATTCATAGAATGCAACTTTACAGCTGCATAGAGATGCCAGTATTTCTTAAGAGAACGCTTAGAACATCAATAAGGTGTTTTGTTTGGTAAAAACAAAAATTTACTAAAGGGAATCTACAGCAATGAGGCAGTTTAACTTCAGTAATGGGTAACCAATCTCTCCATGATGATATAAGAATATTTCCAAGTGAAACATCTGCTGCTGTCTATTTTTATGAATAAAACATTTTTGAATTACTGGAGAGAAAAAGAATTGTATATTAGGTATGAGAATCTTTTGGAGATTTGGGTCTTGTTCATGGGTGACATGTTGTATATGTTAAAGAATCTGTACAAATACAATAGAGAAAATAACAATACAATAGGAACGATCAAACCATAGTTGTGTTATCTACATTTCCCGCTTTTGGTGCATTATTGTTTTTTAAGGGATACAATGAAAGTGGGACTTTATTTTCCTAAAGCTCCCTTCTGCAGTGCTCTTGCTTGATCGTCATGTTTTCACTTTCCAGTGCTTCTGAAAAATTTCAGTACTTGAAAGTTGTTCTGACAAGTTAAATTTAATGGCTAATCTTTCAGCGTCTTGAAAAGTCTGGAGTCACTGAATACAATGATGTCATCAGTATGGTGGGTGATTGGTTTCTATTGGATTGTGCTGGGTGGCCAAGCACTTCTTCGAGAATCTCCTCGTCTCTACTGGTAACATTAGCTTTAAGATTTTGGAACTCTTCTTGCTGCTAGAGTTGACATTTCATCTTACCATGTGTTCTATATACCTAGAATCCAATATGTGTTAGATTGCACATTTAGTTGTTTGATTAATGGGTTGGTATATGCACTTGAAAGATGCAAGTTTTTGTAGACTATTGGATTTTTTTAGGTTATATTTGGAACAAATCCAAAATCTTTGTGAAGTTAATTTGTAAATCCACATTTATTTGAACTATAAGATTATGAGAAACCTATCTAAAATGATAACAATTGAGTTCATATGGAATTCTCTGTAACTGAAACAATATATTCTAACTCCCATTAATTCTAATTGAATTTAAAACGTAATGTTTCAATTCCACATGCAATTCAATATGAACTCAATTTTTTTGTCATGCTAATACAATTTACAACGAACTCTAGTTGAATTAAGTATAAATTTACACCTAAATGCTGATGCAATTTACAACTATTTTTTGTCTAGCTCCTTTGCCTGCTGCTTTGACCATTTGTATTTACAACAATTAGGATCTGGATTAATGGATCTCTCTGTTTGAGAAAGAAAATTTAAGAAAATGGAAGCATCTCTCATCAGAAAGAATGATTCCTTACTTTTTCTTATACACCCGTAGATGCCATAGTGGATTCGAACCAGAGTTTGTATGACTGCCTGTGATTTGGTTCTTGCAGCTGTTACAATCTCTAGTTCATTTGAGGCCTTTATTTTGTCTCCCTTTATCTTGTAGCCTAATGCATCCAACATCTATACTTTTATGGTAAAAAAGTAGTCAAGTTCTGGTTTTTTCATATGTGCTTGTGCTGAGCTTGGAACTTTAGATTAGTAGAATTTCCAGACATAATCAGGTATTCAATGGCAATGTGAGAACACATAGAGAGTGACTACCTATCACGCAAAAATTATTCTTTCACAGGAAAAGAGAGTAAGATGTTGGACAGAGAAAGAAATTTGTTGATTGTTTGATATGTGCTAATATATTTTTACTGTCAATGTTATTGAACTGTAAATTTCTTCTTTCCTTTATGCATCTTCTATGCTCTTTCTCTTATGACTCATGCTTCCCCATACGACTTGTGGAGAACACGGTATTATCTTAATTTTATGCATACAAGTATTCCATCAAATCATGAAGGATGGGGTCACCTGCAGAATGGGCAAACATGTGCATCTGACAATAATAAATCATCTTGAATTGCAGGTTAACAGTCGTTTTTCTGGCCTTTGATGTGTTCTTTATAATATTTTGTATTGGGATGGCATGTATCATATTCTTTGTGCTGTTTTGCTGCATTCCAATTGTAGCAGTTGCCTATGCTATGGCAACTAGACAAGGCGCTTCTGAAGATGAAATCAGAAGTCTGTCTAAGTTTAGGTATCGTGAGTCTAACCCACTGAATGTTCCGAACAATCACAAGAATCAGGAGGGTTTTGGGACAAGTGCAGAGTTGGAGAAAAATGATCCTAATGAACTACTTCTTCATCCAGATGATTCTGTGAGCATCTTTTCTCAATTTGAACTTGTAGTTCTTTCTATATTCCAACTAAAGCCAAGTTATGAGTAAATAGTTCTTTCTATGCATGCAGTGTTGAATAGGTAGCCTTAATTTACATATTATCTTAAATTTTACAATAACGAATTTATATTTCTAGTTATCACTGGAGGAATCACCAAGTTGGATAAAGAATGGCGAACCAAAATGTTTATCAAAATCTTCATCTCATGTTTGTATTCGAATTCAACAGAATTGAAATTTAGTCTGAAATCAACCTGTGTATGTGGTGCATATCTTTCGTAGGAATGTTGCATTTGCCTCTGTCGATATGTGGATGGGACGGAGTTGCATATCCTTCCCTGCAACCACCATTTCCATTGCGGGTGCATCATCAAATGGCTTCGGATAAATGCTACCTGCCCTCTCTGCAAATTCAACATTCAAAGGGGTGACACATTGGTTTGACTTTTAAAAAGGTGGAAAATGCAATTCTCTTGCTGATTTGCTAACATTAATTTGATGCGGTGAAAATGCCAGAAGCAGTTAGAAAGAAGAGCTCTTTAAAATGTAAATAGAATTGTCAGTAGTAATTTCATGTTCAAAGCAGGACCAGCAATTGAAATTCCCCTGGTGTTTCCTGTATGTTATTCTGGAAACCATTAAAGTTTATCTAATTCTCATGATATAATAATTCCCCCGGTGTTCCAAGTTTTTGAGGATTCTTTCTTATTTTGGTACCTTGAAGAAAAATAGGCGTATATTTTTTAAAGACATGATAAAAAATATATATATATATATATATAAATTTTGAATTCGAATTATCAGCTCGAGTAAAATATATGTGATTTGAGGATTGAACCCATGAGAAGCTTACAGGAAGAACCAACGCCACTATTCACAACATCTCAGTCAAGTTTTAATATATTTTTATGTATTCCCAAGATGTAATTCATGTTTTGTTTTTCATAAATAATAGCTATATATATATATGTATACTTTGTAAAGTTTAAGGCTTTTAAAGGTTTAATTAGATTTGAAGAAAAAATATATATATATATATATAATTGTAAAATACCTGAAAGATGTCATAAATAATAGCTATATATATATATATGTCTTTGGTTAACAATTTAATTAAAAACAATTAATTTAAAAAGAAATCAAGGTTTTTCCAGTTTCTGTTTTGTTAATATGACATTCTAATTTATCATTTTTTTTATACAAAAAAAAAAAAAAAGACTAATAAGTTCAGATAAAAATTAAAATAAAATATATATATATATTTCAGGGGACCTCAGCTCTTGTTTGGTCCTCTTATCCAAACAAAACCATTTGGCAATGAGGGACTGAGACCATCGTACATTCACTTCCCCTAACAATGTCTCTCCTCCTCCTCTTCACTCCTCTCCCTTCTCTCTTCTCTTCTTCCTTTTCTTCGTCTTCTAACTTCCCCGTAATTGCTTCACCGAGTAAGTTTTCTTCTCTCTCTTTCCCAACTTTCCGGCGATTTGAACTCAGATCTCCAGCTTAATGATTCATTTGGTTTTCAGTTTCCAGGTTGCGCATAAAACCCAACGAAGAGCAATCAAAATCTCGGAATGGAGTGTGCAGCCTTGGCGTCCCCTTCTTAGCCGACAAAAGAGGTGCACTGACCGTGAAAGCCTCCTCCGACGTCGATGGAGCGGCTCCGACGGATGGCAGCCAGTCTCCGGAGGTGGAGGCGGTTCCGGTTGAGAATTTGCCGTTGGAGTCAAAGATGCAGCAAAGGATGGAACAGAAGATGAAAATGAAACTGGCGAAGAAGGTCAGACTCCGTAGAAAGCGGCTCCTTCGCAAGCGTAAAATGAGGAAGAAGGGGCGATGGCCGCCTTCGAAGATGAAGAAGTTGAAGAACGTCTGACCCTCGTCGCAACGTGGCTTCTGGTTTGTATTTGTTCACATTTTTATGCCCATCGTTTTTCTCCTAATTCTTGATCCTGACGACCTTTACTGTTTAAATTTCATAAAGCTATTTACCATTTGCCATTTCAAGTTCATAAACATGCCTAGATCTTCCTATTATGACTTGGAGACGGGGAGATCCTTACAGTTATTTTATAAGCAAATAATCCAAAAATATTTATATAAACTTTAAAAAAAAAAAAAAAAAAAGTAAAAGACGTGTGTTTAGTGAAAATAATTCTTAAAATTTTTTTAATAAAAATCAAAATTATTTTCTAAGGTTAATTTCAAACCTATCAAAATTAAATTAAAATCAAACACCTTCTAAAGCACAGCTCCCATTTGTTATAGTATATTTTATTATTATTTAGTAATATGTAAGTTAATAATAATTCATACATTTGATAACTCATCCCATATTTTTAATTTTACAACAAAGAGTTGTCTTAGAACTTGCCATAGAACTAGAATCTAATGAAACTAAAAAAAAAAAGAACCCAGATAGATGGCTGGATTCAACGGGGGAATTCATTCCTTTTGGAGGTAAACAAGTTGATTCTTAAGGTTTCAATTTACAGTCATGCATAATCTACTCTGTGTTACAGTGGTTTTCTAAGATTATCGTATTCAGCAACACTCTCTTATGACAAATATAAGCCACAGAATTTGGAAACGTGTACACAACTTGTTGAATAATGTGTTAATATACATGCAAAGATTAAATGTTTATTATATTTTTGGAAGAAATGATTAAATTTTCTTAATTAAATTCTATATTGTTAACAAAAAAGTTACCTATGGCTTCCCTCTCCAGCTCTTCTTTACATAAATCTTAGCCACCTAATGTGGTTCAATTTTCATTTAATGCCCGAGTTAAAATAGCTTCGGCTTTCAAATTAGGAATTGAATTCTTATCCACAAGGAAATTCAAAGTGAGGTGATTGTGTTCTAAGTAAGAAGAGTAGAAGTAGAAATTGAATCAAAACATCACAAGAAAGTTGTTCCCGAAACACATCTATATAATCCCTTGGCTTCTCTGGAGAGTTGCTAGCCTCTCTCACAAACATTTCATAAGTTGAACCAATCATTTGTTTTCCTATCAACAATTCCTTTCTGAGAATTCGATTAGCAAATTTGACCACAAAACAATTGTAAATTATATTCCAGAGTTGTAGAAGGAAAGGAGGCGAAGAATAAACCTGAAGAGATCAGACGTTCTTCGACTTTTTCATCTTCGAAGGAGGCCATCGACCTTTCTTTCTCATCCTCCGCTTCCGAACGAGCTTCTTCCTTCTAAGCCGTATCTTTTTGGCCATTTTCATCCTCATCTTCTGCTCCAGTTTCAGCTGTAGCTTCGACTCCAAAGGGAGTTTATCAAGTGGCAAGCTCTCTTCGTCGTCACTCTCTGAGTTAGGAATTCCACCATTCGAATCCGTTAACTCATTTTCAGAAGAAGATGCTTTAATGATCATCGCATGCCTTCCGGTGACGATCGATGTTATTTGAAAACAAAGCCCGTTGAAAGATTTAGTGTGGGAAGCCATAGGCTTCAGAGACAGCCGGGAAACTGAGAATAAATCCAAAATTCAGATGCCAGAAAAAGAACCCCAAAAAAAAAAGAGAGAGAGAGAGAAAACCTAGAAGTTATGAGTAATAGGCCAAGGTGTAAAAAGAACAGAGAGAGAGAGAGAGAGAGAGAGAGAGAGAGAGAGAGAGAGAGAGAGGAAGAATACCTAGGTTAGCAGTAAATGCGAGAGGCATCGATGGTGAAGAAGAAGAAAGAGAAGCGAGTGGAGAGGAGAAGAGAACAGCCATGCTTCGATTTGCAAGTGTACTCCGTCTTCTCCCTCTCCGGAAGTCTCTTGGGACTTCTATTCAGTACTTCATTTAAAAATTTTATCAATTTACTTTTAATAACTGTAATTAAGCAATTAAATTATACATGTTAAATAAATATTTTTTACTGATATTGATATCTTAAAAAGTTTACATGAATGTTAAAATTTTCTCCAAAATACTGAATTGAATATACTTTATTTAATTTCTATTTAATTTTTTTATAAATTCAATTCATGAAGTAGATTTTGATGATTTAAAAATTAAATTAACTAAAAAATATTTCAAACATTAATAACATTTTTTAATAAAAATATATATATTATTAAATAATAAATATAACCAAATAAAAAAGGTGAACCAACTTACAATTTTTTTTATTAAAAAAAATATTTAGTTAAATAATAAGTAATATAATAAATTAAATAATAGTTAATATGATAAAATTGACAATTCACTTAACAAACTATGAACTATATTTGATATTATAGTTCATAAACTTTTTAACTTAAATGTAAAATAATTATTTGATGTTTTTATTTTCAAAATCCATAAAATATTTGATATATTCCCTTTTTTTTTCATTATTATTTTTTAAAATTCATTTTCATTTTAACAATTACATTTTTTTTTATGGCAAATTAAAAATAACAAACAGAGACGCTCTAAAAGCAAAGCCAGAGGCATACTCCCAAATTATAACTGATAACTGTTGTAGACTACAAAAAAGAGGAAAAGGATGCTGACTGAGTTATGACATAATTGCAAACAGACACTAGGGGAAATAACTATAAGCTATTACTACTTCACATTACAAAATAAGGAACATTGTGTTCATTTTTCACATTATCGATAAGGGGAAAGAGAATTAAAAAAGGAAATTCGCCAAAATAATATAAGTCAAGATTAGGGAAGAACATGGGAGCGAAAAATGAGCGGATACGTACAGAGAAAGCCACTGCTCCAGCACTGCAAAAGTTAAACCAGAGGATAAACAAATGACTGATTTTACAAAATCTACACCAGGCAAAGCATCAAGCTCTTCTCCATAAGCTCACTCACAACTTTAATAAACCAATGCCTCAATTTTCAAATCAACTATAATCGAAGAAACATGATCCGGACGACATGATGTGAATTTCAACAAAATTCGAAAAATTATTCCCAAGACTTTTAGTAAGAAAGGAAATTTTTGAGGAATTTGAGACGACTCACCACGGAAAGCAATGGTCCCTGCTTGAATTTGTTATGAAATGAAAATGCAATTGGCTTTGGATTGTCACCAGGTCCTCTAATAAAGCCACTGCAATTACGAACCAAGTAATTTGGAAATTGCTATCAGGTTTAGTACTACAGAAACATTCTACTGGAAGCTCAAAGCTTAAAACTGTGTTGAAGTACTAAAACAAAAATAAACGTAACTACCAAAAAAAAAAAAAAACACTCACATTAGCGATGCAGAGAGCAGAGGCGTCCTTCTGGCATCATATATGGCAATGAGACCCCTATAGATGTCATCCCCTTCCTTGTATGAGACAGCTAACCGCTCTCCAGAAGCATCCCAGGCTATCTTGTCAATTCCCTGACTGCTTGGCACAAAATGTGCACAAAACAACTCAATTTTAAACATGAACTCAGTTCCTTTTATCATTTTTTTTTTGTTCCTGAGATTACAAACTCCTGTATCTTTAATAAATAAATTTACCCTCTTTACATATCAAGAGAATTGTTCTAGAAAAGCAATGACCAATAATAGAATATAAACATTTCCGTTCTATTTGGTTCAAACTTATTCTTTTCGTCTTAAATTTCCAGATCATCGTCGTTTGGTATGTAGAAATTAATATACACACTTAATGCATAATTAAACCAGAAGGAATCACAAAAAAGAAAAAACTAATTTAAATTGGATATATACTTGACTTGAAATTAAGCTTTTGTTTTTACTCAAATTTCTATATATTTCAATTGCATTTTCATGAAACTAAAATTTCAACCAAACTCAATATTATAGTCGCAGTAATAGCAGAACCATAACTCGTCCGGGGTGTTTTCAACTTTCATATAACATATAATAAATTAAGATTGTATTTCATAGTAATGTAATCAAGTTATAGAAATATATAATTTCCATTTCTTATTTAATTATTTATCTTATTTCTAAACAAATAACAATATTTATATACACTTACACTAAATTTACAAATATAATACTTAATATATATTTATAATATCTAAATTTAATATTATTTACATTATTTTTCTACAATAAACCAAAAAGCTCATAATAATAAAACTTAAAACATTTATTTTTCTTGAAAATAAAAACTTTAACATTTATAAGCATCAAAATATGGAGAACAGAAACTTCCAAGAAATAGAAAAGATACTAACTGAAAATAACTCTCTACCTGCCGGTCAAGGAACTTATCTCTGGCAAGTCAACAGGTAATAAGTGGGCATCTGGAGATAAAATATGAAACAGAGAAGGAAATGAGAACAGTGACCATTTACCTGACCTAGTCAGATTTCTGCAATGTTACCCATATCATCAAAGACACCAGGCATGGCTTTCCTTCTCATTTTCTTTCTCAATAGAAAAATGGATAGTAGGGTTTCAATATTGTCATATTACACTAGGCCGATCATCTCCCTCCCAGCCAGTTCCCTCAATTATATTTGTTTGCCTCTCACATCTTAGTTTGACCCTCTTTTTTCGCATAGGCAAGTTAGGGGTCCACACTTAATATCTTAACCCCACAATAGAGAGAGATGATTATGATGGGGCAAATAACCTCTAAAATGGTCCTCTTCTCCTAGTCTTAAACACTAAAACATACCTTCACAATTTTTGTAGACTAAGTAAATAGCAGAAAGACATCTCCCCAATCTACATACAAGGAGATATAATAAAAGATGTACATTTACATATTCCATTAAAGGGCTTGTGACTCACAAAAAATTGTTGGAAAGTGTTGAGATCATAGGAATACTAACGCCAACCATATGAGATTAAACAAAAGTACTGTGCTCCATTTTAACATTTACATTCCTACCTAGAGGAAAAATTGGCTTTCTTGGGGAAAAAAAAAAACATAAGGTTTGCATACCTAATGATGGGGGCTTTGATGCAAAGTGGATAGAACCCAGTGTTGAAGATCCAGAGAAGGTGATCAATATCATACGCCCATCAGGATCCCATGTTGCCCCCTAATAAAGAAGCATGCATGCACAAATAGGTTAATGCATAAGGACCTTAGTATGTGGGGGCTATTCCTTCAAAATGAAGACACTTAATTAAGGCATGCCCATAGTTAGAAAGGGAGAACAACAGAAAAATCATACAACATCAATGAGGAGAGAAATGGACTTTCACTTTTTATTTACCGTAACAAAGCCACTAGATGAAGACCATGGTTCAGATGTCCATGTGTTTGTTTCCCAGAGATAAAATGTTCCATCACTGTCAAATAACAAAATATTAGCCCTATACATTAGAAACTAAATAATTAATCTAAGACAAAGGCAAATATCAAGAAAACTAAGGTCATACAATTTTGCAGCAAAAAAGTAATCTCCAGTAGGTGACCATTTAAGTATTGATATGCCACCTAATCCTCTTCGAATGGGTGACCCAACTCCTGGAAATTATATGGACATATGTTCACTTTAGATAGTAAAAAGTAAAATGTTAATGTAGAAATATCATATTGTACATTATTTGAAGATAGGTCCAAGAAAAGCATGCAAAAAAGAAGATTGTAACTCAATTCTTCATTACAAAATAATAAGACTCAATTCTTGACCATAGAGATGTAAAAAGAAAAAAAATACTCTACATATCTGAATATCCTCACAAATTAAAGCTCTTAAATTTACCTCAGCAACAGGCTTTATGAATAGATTGTTCGATTTAATCAAATTTTCCTTCATTTCAAAATTGACTACGATAAGTTTTATCTGGAGACTAAAAAGGCTGACACAGACATAGCAAGTACCGGTTAAAGTTGAGGATAAGATGGGGTGTATATATATATATATATATATATATAAGATTTGAGTATATGCGTTACCAGATTATAGATATACATCTAGAGGTTCAACAAATATCCCGCTAAGATGATATCATCTCAGCCAAAGCCACATTACAGTCAATCATGTTGGAACCAGAAACACCAACCTTAGAAACATATATATTGTGATAGAGATGAAAATAGAGCAAAAAAATAGGGTGCTTGTGTAGAAAGTAGGAAGAAAGCTAAAAGTAACATAAATCAACAATTCTAAGTTCATCCAGCACATTGCTTAGCAGCCAAAAAAGATTAATATTGCTGAAAAAATCAATAAATCACACACTTAGGTATTAAAGAGGTGCTGACATACCTTGAGCAACATCCCATATGGTGAATGAGGAGCACTCGTACGAACCAGATGTCAAATATGTGAGAATAGGTCAAGGAAACTTACAACAACTCTTCCAACACACGTACAAACACACAGAGCCCACCCCCAGCCCCCCAGAAACAATCAGTAATAAGATAGCAAGGAATTTCATTTTTATGTAAAAAAAAATGACCAAGTATAAGCCAGATATTGAATAATATGAAATATAGAAACACTGATTCCGGAGGTGAATCCAGCCATAGAGCATATGAGGGAAAAATTTTCAGATACGTTAAGAAAAAAGCTAAGTGATGTAAATAGGAGTAACATTTCCATCAAACATATAATTTACTTAATCAATGAACTCAAATTAACATAAAGCAAACATAGCACATTTGTCTTGGTGCGGATATCTTCCATCAGGACTCCATGAAAGAGTACTTATTTGCTCATCGTTATGACTTCGAAGAAAATCCACCAGGGTCCATCGAGTCCCAGAGCCTCTAGAGCTGGTTCCCAGAAATGGAGCAGCAGCAGATCTCACAGATGGTAAATTACCTGGATAAGAAGCAGCCCAAATGCAAATCCCACCCCTGAAATTCAATCCAACATTGGAGACAGATGAAGGATCTATAAGATATCAATTATTAGAGTGATCTACCATGAGCAAGTCAAAAAGGAAACAATTATATATACTTGCATGCTACAGAAAGTGATTTTCCACCATTTGGCCTCCACTGAAGAGCGCTAATATCTCTCTGGGACTCACTGATCAAAATGCAAGGTTCTTTCCCTTCTGTTCAACATAAATTTCGTATTATTAACTTAGACCATAACCTAAGAACGCGTATGCTAAAAAGCTCAAAAATGACTTACCTGAATCTTCATAATCACGAACTATAACTTGATTTGGGCCAGAAATAAACGCAACTACGTGTTTGTGTTGGTGCCAACTTACTCCATGAAGATTAACCTCGGGTAACAAGTTCACCTATAAGTTTTATGAAGTAAGAGAACGTATATCAAAAATCATCTCCAAGTTTTTTTAGCCATGGCCACCAACACTCACGGCAAAATCCATTAATATCAGTCAGATAACACAATACAATTTGAACCTGAAAGCAATTCCTTAAATATTTTTTGCCATTACAATAAACAAAACGGCAAACCTTACATCATTTGGATGAAAAACGCGTTTAAGGGAGTCACTTATTAACCCCTGCAGCTTTCCCACCAACCCTGTTACTTGAACATCCTCGTCATTTCCGTTCCCTTGTTGTTCAGCATCCTGCTGGGGACCCGGATCCGATTGAAACGGAATCGGACTAAATATCATTCCCTGTGATAAACCAAACTCGAAACCTCAAAACCACTATCAACCACATAACAAAAATACCACCAGTGTCTAATTATACGTATACGAAGAACAGAGAGGAGTTGGCAACAGTAAGAATAACGTACGAGTAGCTTTCCATAAGTTTCCTTGGCTCGATCATCGGAGATGCTATTGGCAGTAACTGCAGGTTGAACATTTAAACATGGAATCACAATTTGAAACCCTAGATGTGCATAATGTTTAAATATGTGAAAACGAGAGTGTTTTAGATGTTTGTACTCAAGAGTCGATTGATTTCGCAGATAGTGACAGAGCCAGGTTGAGGAAATGAAGCCATTCTTTAATGTGGTCGGGGCTTGCCAGTGCTTGGAAATTTTTCTTTTTCTGATTTCTTTCCCTTCCCTTCTTGGGAAATGACTATCAGAAGGTAGAAGAAGGGTTTAATTTTTCAATTTTGAAGGAGAGTAGGGTTTATTGTGAGATGCCGTCATTGGCATCTGGCAATTTTCTCTTCGCGCTTATTTCTTTTTGATGACCGAAGGTTTCAGATTTCACCGGCGAATCTCTTTGAATTTTAACAGTATCTTTTTAATAATTAAAGCTGTAGAAAATTATTTCTTTTATTTAGTTAAATAATATTTTAATAATTTTAAAATATTATTGTTATTTTTTAATTTAAACATTTTGTACCTAAAAATATATTTCGTTAAATATAAAATTGATATTCATTAAAACGTTGATCATGTCGTATTAATTTGCAGCATATTGATTTTTATTTATTATTTTCAATTGATACATAAATAAAATAAAATTACGGTAATGCATATGGTTGATTATCAGTCTAAAAATGGACCAACTATATCAAAAGTTTGAACTTAATTATATTTATAAATAAATATAAATGTAAAATATAATTAATATAGATGTAGATATATATATATATATATATATATATGCATGTATAAAGTTATATAGAGACTTTTATGCATATAATTATATATTGATGTTTTTTTCTTTTTAAGTTTTTATTCTTAATCTAACTAAAAAATTAGGTCCTTAAGATTAAACTGAGAATAAAATTGATATTTAATTATTTATAAAAATATAAATGATAAAGTATAAAAATATGTAAAATTAATTATAGTGTCAAGTCACCATTTAAAAGAATAAATAAAATAGAAGAGAAGAGAAGAAAAAAAAATAAAAATATTATTAAGTTCCGTGTTTGATTTATGGAGTGATTCTGTCAAAACCTAGGAGTAATAAAAATCTCAGGAAGGTTTGTCATTTGACACATTGCTCTCTTTGTCTGCCGGTTGGCACGTCAGTCTTCTCTCCTCTCCTAAACTCTTCTTCCCTTCCTTACTTTCCAACGTATGCTCTCTTCTCTCCTTTCGCCTAGACTTGCCATTTGTGCTCTTTTTTGCGGCACGCTTTTTTTTTATGGAAGGGCTTGCATCTCTCTCGATTTCTGAAGTGGAGGATGGTGGTTGGAATATTGCAAAACTAGGGAATGCTCAACTGGAGGATTTCAAGTTGTGTTTGGTGGGCTGTTTTCTTATTGAGGCAATCATAAAATTTGATTTTATGAAAAATACTCTCGTTGATATATGGAGGCCGATAGCGGGAGTCAGTATCCAAAAGTGGGGCTCAAGCAGGTATTTGTTCAGATTCTTCTATGAAGTAGATATCAAGCGAGTGATTGATGGTGGCCCATGGACTTTAAACAACTACTTACTGCTAATACACCAACTTCAACATGAAGAACACCCGTCTCGAGTAGATATATATTTGAGCCACTTCTAGTTTCAGGTGCATTCTCTCCCGCGAGATGCGTCTCGGAGGTGATGGCTAACTAGTTTGGTGATTTCCTCGGCAAGTTCCTTGAATACGACACAAAATTTTTTACTATGACCAATCTGGGTTTCCTAAGAATTCAGGTGGAGCTGGATGTTAGGAAGTCTCTCTTCCGCCGCAAAAGACTAAATTTATTACCAGGATGGCCAACTTATGTTTTATTCAAGTACGAAAGGCTACCGACTTATTGCTACTTATGTGGTAGAATGGGGCATTTGGGGAGTTTCTATAAGCTCCAAGTCCACACCATTGCGGGAGCCTTGAAAGCAGAGTGGGATGAGTCCATTAAAGTATCCACACATCGGAATTCACAACCGGCGAACCACTGGTTGCGGGATGATAGAGTTGGCACGTTACAGAATTCTACGTCGTAATATCCGAGATCCGATAATGCAAAGAAGTTATAAGCACATTTAAATACCGCAGTTATGGTCCTGGATTTGAGGGATTTTAATAATTTACATACAACTAAGAAATTAGAGGCGTGAATTATAAACATGGATCATGAGGCATTTTTAGGCCGGGTTAGACAGGATGCTTTGGGCCTGAAATCCAATAGAGTTCATGCCACATTATCGGAGGATATTTGTCTGGCCCATAATGATGGTAAGAAACATCTTCGACATAGTTTCTCCCCGGATAACTGGATAGAACATTTGGAAGCTGATGCTAATTTAGTGAAACTACAGACACTTGAGAGATTGGCGAAGCCTGGGTCCTAGGCTCGTCGGGAGTCATGAAATTTATGAGTTGGAACTTTTGGGGTCTCGGCAACCCCTAGTCAGTTCTGGTCCTACATGAGCTGGTGCAGAAGTTTAAGTTGAATATTATGTTTATGATGAAGACGTTGGTGATGAAGACCAAGCTAGAAATGGGCAGAGAGTGGTTGTTGATGGGTTTCTATGGCATGCCTTGCCGGAGCAAGTAGAGGGAGTCTTGGACACTTCTTAGGCATTTTGTCAGTAGCCATTCCAGTCATTGGGTGGTCAATGGGGATTTCAATGACAGGTTGTCTGCGGAAGAGAATAAAGGGGGCGTAGCTCCTTCTTCCTCACTCATGAATGGTTTTCGGGATACGTTGGAAGCCTAAGATTAGTGATCTCTCGTTATTGGGGTACAGTTTCATTTGGACTCGATGAGCCGAGGGCAGGATTATCTAGGAATGGCTTCGAAAGATGCATTGTAAATAACCAATGACTGGTCAGATTCTCGCAGGCTCACTTAGATAATCTTACAGCTCTAGTGTCTGACCACTCACCATTTTTGTTAACTTACGACTACAGCAGACAGGAGTGGTGGGTATCCTAGTTCAAATTTGAGAATGTCTGGTTGTTGCACCCAGATATTGAGTAGGTTGTGTATGATAGTTGGAACTATTCGAGAGAAGAAAATATAATGACAGGTATTGCAGACTGTAGTTAGAGATTACAGGATTAGGGTAGGTCCTAGTCGCACTAATTCAAAATAGCAAAAAAGAAAGCTTTATGGGAGGATTATAACTGAACAAAGGAATCGACCCTGAGAAAACCCGAAAAATTAGTTCAGTTGAATGAAGAATACATTAGGGTATTGGAACAAGAGAATACCTTTTAGTGTCAACGAGCCAAAAAGTTTTAACTACAAAATAGTGATCAGAACTCTAAATTTTTTCAGATTTGTTCTTGGCAATGAATGGTAATTAGAAATCTGTCATTTGCCAAGTGATGAGCAGAATAACACCATATATGAATGACATATTATTTTTTCCTCTCAGTGGTGGGTTTTCAAATGCACTTGGACAAATCTTCGGGATCAGATTGGCCTGAATCCGAGTTTTTACTAGAAGTTTTGGCATATAGTGGTTCCTGGGGTTTGAACATGGTCAACTTTCTCATCAAGTGAATGAGACTATTGTTGTTCTCATTCCCAAAATAGATCACCCGGAGACAATCAAGGACTTGCGGCCCATATCTTTGTGTGATGTGGTATATAAGATTTGTTTGGAAAATCTTGGCTAATAGATTGCAGAAGTGCTTTCTAGGCTTGTATCTTAGTCACAGTCAATCTTTGTGCTTGGGAGGTTGACGACAGATAATATCATTTTGGCTTTTGAAGTGATAGAAAATATGAAAATTGCAGGTCGACGCAAAAGAATGGATATCATTAAAGCTTATGACAAATTATTGATGCAGTTTATGACATCTGTTAGATATCAATGGTGGGGAGGACATTGGCCCTGTTATTCCACACCGTGGTCTTCGACATAGAGACCCTCTGTCCATATTATATGGAGAAGGGGCTATCTGAAATATTTTGAAGAGCTGAGTCAGCTGAGCAGATTCATGGGATTCGTGTGTCCCAGCATTCCCCATCTATTCTTTGTCGATAATTCTCTATTTTTCTTTCGCGTCATTGTAGTTAAAGAGATTCTTCTCCAATATGAAGTTGCGTTGGGTCAAGCTGTTAATTACCACAAATTAGCTACATTTTATAGTGCAAATACCCCGTTGTTGGGGTTTACCTTCTCTAGTGGGGAGGAGTAAAAGACAAATAAAAATAAAGCATTCCATAACTGCTCAGCTCAATGACCAGCACAACAAGGAAGTTTTCTTAAAATTAGTTGCCAATTTTTTTATGTGGGAGTTTTCTATATCCTTGTTTTGCTGTGTGAGAAATTCCAGTGCATCATGAACAGTTTTTGTTGGGAATATAAGTTTTATCTTTACGATCTAATTATTCGTATAATATATTAAATACATTATTATTTGACAATTTATTTTAATATATAACAATAGTATTTTATTATCTTATCGATTAATTTATGTAATAAAGTACTTAATTAAATTTATACGTTTTACATCAAAATAGAAATTTTGATAACGAGAGTAAAACCTTTTATGACTTAATTTAAAATATTGTTAGTCGTTGGATCATCAAAATAAGACATTAATAATACGGTAAAACTAATATATATATATATATATGATAGTATCTATAAGATAAAGATTAGTTGATCTCATTAATTAAGTCACATATATAGATGATGCGTATAGGAATATGATCATTGAATCGACCCAATTGAGAATTTATAATAATTAATATTATCTTAAACTGTTAATAGAGTATTCTCTTATTTTGATGAGATGTAAGAATTCTCTTAGATCTGAGATCATCACAGTAATTGATAAGTCATTTATTATATTTTGATTTCGAACACCTATAGTTATAGAACTGTAGTTGAAAGGATATTTGGTGTGATTAAATATTTATAGAATTAATGATTGATTAATACGGAATCTGTCAATTTTAGTAATAAGTTTAATCTCTATATTGTCATTTATTATAATAACTAAATTAAAACTTTCGTCAGGACAGCTGAATAAGGGTATAAAATAATTTTTTATGTCATTCATTAGCCAATTATAATTGATATGAAATATAGTTGGTTACCCATTAGAATTTAATAGTTAAACTATATCTTAAGGTTAATTTCGAGTAATAATGACGGAAAAAAGTATTACATATTTCTTTAGCAGGTTCTTGAAAGTAATTGTACATTTCATGTTATCCGATCGTTGATGAATGTTGGTAAACGCTAATCTTAATTAGTAAATTAGTTTGATCAATTTACTACTGCTTTAGTATTGAATTTACGAGATTGTACACTAACGAGTATTCTGACTTTTATTGAATAGATTAATTATTTTAATTATTTGATAATTAAATTAGAGAATTTAATTTAATTAAATAAATAATTTTTTTTATTTAAATAAAATATTATTATATTTTTTAATTGTATCGAGAATATAATTAATATTAGAAAAAAATTGAATTTTTTAACTTTTAAAATAGAAAATTAATATTTATATTTTTGAGTTATTATATTATTAATGTAATAACATAATATGTGTGATTATTATAATAATTAAAATTATTGTAAAATTTAATTTAAAATTAAATTAATTTATAAAATTATTTTATTAACCAATAATAATAATTAAAAAAGATAAATATATATATATATGTAAAGATTTGGGTGTTAAAAAGAAAAAAAAAAAAGTGGATGAATCCAAATAAATTTGGACGAGTGAGAGTCCAAAAGGAATTTCTCCACCCATGTCACCTATATATATATGTATATGATATATATATATATATATATATGTGGATGTTTTGAAAAATGGTGGAGAAATGAACTAGAAAAAGTAGCCGCACAAAAACACAAAAAACTGGAGAATTTTTTTGTTAAAGTTTAAAAATTTGAAGACATTCCGTTAATCAAAGAATTGAGTAATAAAGGTTGGTTTCAATATAAATATGCACAGAGTATTCGTGTTTTCAAATAATTTTAATTTGAGAATCCGTTGTCAGGTGCGTTTTAGATTTAATATTTAATCTGCAATATAATTTTTAAACACAAATAAATCATATTGATCAGTTTTTATCATTCAACGCACATATAACAATCCTTCAATTTTTTGTGGGGACGGAAAGCAAACGAAGGCCAGAATCTACACTGTTATCATGGAAATCATTATGCAGAAGCAAGGAGGCGGGTGCGATGAGTTTTAGATGCTTGCATGAATTTAATTTGGCCTTACTTGCAAAACAGTGTTGGAGGATTCTTAGTAATCCAAACTCTTTATTATCACAGACTCTCAAAGGCAAATATTTCTCTCAAGGGGATATTCTAACTGTACGGTTAGGCTCTAACCCCAATTTCACATGGAGGGATCTGCATCTTGCTAAATACGTGTTGAGAGATAGATTGAGATGAGTTATTGGTTCTGTAAGTAGAGTAAAAGTATGGACAGATCCTTGGCTGCCACACGAATAGGGTTTCTTTGTGCATAGGTCCGTGCGTGGAGGGATGAGAGAACATGATAGTGAATGGACTCAATTGGGATGTTGATCTGGTTAGAGGTTTATTTGTGGATGAGGAGGCTGATATCATCATTGGTATTCCTTTAAGCTTAAGTAATAGGGACGATAGATATGTTTATAAATTTTCAGAGGATGGTAAATTCAGTGTGACAACAATTGATGACACCTCTTGAATAACATACTTCTTGTAACGACTTGGTTGAGGGAGAAGGGAATTATTGTAGGGATGGATTACCGTAGATGTGAACAGGAGGAATCAGTTCTGAATGTCCAAAGGCTCGTGGCAGTTGGGGAATCTTAGGTCATAATATTCCAATATCAGATAGGATGGATGGAACAGAACACGTAGCAAATATCCTGCCGATGGAGACTCTAAACCGAGAGGAATGAGGCTCTGTGGATGGGGAGAATATGTGCATATCAATCTACAGTGTTTTTAGCAACAAAGATTCTTTGATCAAATGGAGGTTGACACGGGATATCCGACGAGGCTCTCATCTGTTACCACTGTCCCAATCTCCATGGCAACCACCACCTCCTAGTGTTTAGAAATGTAACGTAGATAACACATGGAGCCATTCTTCAAAACGAGGCAGGTTTTGGAGCAGTCATTCGGGACATAGAAGGGAGAATCATGCAGATTGTCGTCGGCAGGACCCAATGTTGTAGGTTAGCTTCGATGGCGAAGTTAATTGGCTGTAGGTCGATTTTGCAGTATCTCTCTAACCAGGAATTGTTGAGGTGGACGGGCAGAGGGGTTAGCAAAGTTTTAATAGCCCAAAAAGGATGACTGTTCTGAATTTGGCTGATGAATCACTTAAGCCTGAGATTCTTATTAATTGGGCCAGTAGGAAAACAAACAAACAATTTTAAAAAATAATTGTATTTAAGCGTTGATTATAATTTTAAAAATTAAGTATATAATATATATTATAATTAATTAAATATTAAATTATGTTTTTATATTTAAAAAAATTCAATAAATAATATAGAATATAATCTGCAATTAATCAAAAATTAAATTTTATTTTTATATCTATGAAATTTTAAATTGATAATTGATATTTGTTGTATATATTACTGTAATAATTTGATTTTTATATTAAAATCTGAATAAATAATTTTTAAAATTTTATTTTTATTATACAATTATAACTAATATTAATAGATTATTTTTTATTTTAAAAATTAAAAATGTCATGTATTACTTTTATAATATATAATATATAGTATGTAGGTTATATGGTTTACCGCCCGGTTCTTTTTCACCCAAAAAAAGAAGAAAGACTAAGGAAAGGGAAGAGAAGACTGGGAAGCAAGCCAGTTAGGAGGAACAGCAGAAGACCATGAGAGCCTATTTGCCCGACTTCTCTGGCGAAATGGAATTATTTCGGTGATGCAGCAGCAGGAAAGGCGGAAAGATGGCGGGAGATCAGAGAGGCAATTTTGCTCAGAGGTTTCGTAGCACAAGAGAAGCGAAGAGAAGAGGAGAACAAGGAAGGCGAATAGAGGAAGCGGGGGCAATTGGAAGCTGAAAGCAGTAACGCCACAGAGAAGAGCAGATATCCAAAATACGGAAGTCAAACCACGGAAGCAGAGGTCATGGAGGCAGGTGATTCGACAGAGAAGAAATTCAGAGAAAATAGGTAAGGGAGCATCAAAACAGCAAAAGCGGAGGGATGAGAGACGTTAAGGAACAGGCCGAAATCAAAGCTAGGATCTGGCTATAAGACGGCTTGTCTAGGGAGAAGGGCAAGGGGGAAACCCGAGAGAGAAGAAAAGGCAGTGAAAACATGGAGGTTTTCGGGCAAAAATCGAAATCCATCACGCAAAAGGAAAAATAGAAGAGAGATTAGAGTCTTTCGGAAAAAAAGATGGTCTTTATCTTCTTCTCCCCTTCGGCAAAAGAGAGGCATCAGACAAAGCTGCTAATGCTTCATTTTTGGCAACCAGAGCAGTAGAGATAAGAGAGGATTCGGGTCTTTGCAAAGGAGGAGCTAATAACGGTATACATCAATTTCTTTTTCGTTCTTCGATGTATTTCCATAGCTTGTAGAAATAGAGGTAATGATGAGTAAAATGAATGCCATGAATGGTCTCTAAGTTCATTTTGTGTAGGTGTGATATTGTATGTCGCTTAAATGGTCAATGTTAGATGAAAAATACCGAATTTTTTCTGATTTTGCCATTGGAATAGCTGAACATGCTTGGTTTTGTTTGAATATCATGCATATTAACTGTTAGCAAAAAAATCTCTCCAAAAGGTTTCTAGGGCATTTCTTCTCTCATTTCCCTCTCAAGTTTTATTGGAACCATTTTTGTGACTTAGCAATGGTCTTTGTTTTGTTGTGGGATACTCGAGTCATGCTGTTACCAATATATATACCATCCCACTTTGTAATGTTTTAACTTAGATTTCTGGTGTACGACCAGAATATTTATTTTTGGCTCCTGTCCATGTAGAGTAAGACCTCTGACGACTCTCATTTTCAACCTTTCTGTTGGAGTTTTTCTCTATTAGTATGTGACACCATTTGCGTATACCATATATTTGAGGTGTAAATTTTAGATTAATTTAACTTTATTATTAAAAAGATTAATAAGAATAAATATACCACTTATGATAATTTGAGTTAATTTTGTGAAAATTATTAAAATATTTCTGGTATTAATAGGAAATATTTTACATTTTTATGCTGCAATATCAATATCTTAACATTGTCATTTATGTTGTTTAATATCTTGAAAAATTGTATATATGCAATTTTGGAGTTTTATTATTTTATTTGTTGGGTAGAAAAGAGAATTCAAAATAAATAGATGTGTAATGCTTCATAAAACATTTGTACTTAAATTTTTTAAATATTTTTGTAATTTTATTTTTTTCTTCCAAACTAGTAGTAACAAAATTAAATATTAACTGAAGGTAATCAACACATTAAAAAAATTGTAGTCGAAAAGGTAACAAAGGAACTCGAAATTATTACCAACAGAACAGAGGGCTAAAGGAATATTAGCTTAGTCTTAACACAACGGCCAAACAGGCACCGAAGGCTGGTATAGGAGGAGGAGAGCATTCAAGTTAGAGAGATGCCTCTATGTCAGGCCACAGTTCCAGCATCGTTCTCCTTCTAAGCTCCAGCAACCATGACCTTGCGGTTCTCGTCATGTTCCTTTCCCTGACCTGCCGCAAATCCACTCCTTTCCTCACATGCCACCAACCAGAATCCATATTGTTTTTTCAATTCATCGAGTCTGGTCTTATACGACCTGTATGGTTGTCAAGTGATTCTTAGTGATTGTACAACCTTGTAAACTTACTTTGGTTAATTTTGATTATCTTGGCTGTTTATGTTGGAAACAATGTGCTATGGGTTGAAATATTTGAATTGATGATAATGTGTGGAAATGATTAAATTGCATTTGGGCAGAGGAGAAAAAGTATGTTTGTAGAGCTTGATTTGTGCAGCTCGACGGAAATCTATTGTTTGTTTTAACTAGAAAATTTTTTAGTAAAGGAAGAAGATTTTTTTAATTTTGAAAATTGTGTTGATTGTAGCTGTTTTTTGCTCTAACAATCCAAGTTGCTTATGTTTTGCCACTATGCTTTATTATACATGTTTATTTCACATTCCTGTATGAATTTGCATTTTATCCTTCTGGTTAGTTAGTATCATAATTTCATGCTCCTTTGAAATGTTTATGGAAATTGTGGAGGTAATCATTCCTCAGTTAAGTTATCAAACGTTTTTTGATATTTTTGAGTTTAAGCTTTTGGATATTTTGTTCATTGGCAACAAAATGATTGATTGTGTGGAAACAGCATCGGCGCAATTACCAATGGTTGCATGATTTTTTTTAATGGATTTCTTGCAAAATTAGCTATTTGGCATTATCATAGGAGGCTCAATCACTAGTGTTTTTCTAACTATTGGTTTTTAGGTTCCTCTTTTTGTTTATTGCTTCTAGTTCATTACAGGCTACTTATTGATTATTCTCTAAGCCACTCCTTTGCTGTCGAATTTCTACTATGAAACTGCTGACAGTTTTATCTTGTGGTGGCAAAGAAAGAAAGTACTCATTTTATGCTAGTGAAAAATTATGGTCTATTGTTCTTTAGGTATAATGGAACTTCCAGATGGTGCTTAGTTCAAGGTTGTTTTGTTTAAACATTGAAAATTATGTGTAATTATTATTATTTTTTTCTCATGCAGGTTTGGACAAAAATATAATCAATAACAAGTTGAGTCTCTCAACTATCCTCTCTTCCTTCAAATTCTCTTTTACCATTTGCTTTCTTTGAGGTTCAACGTCTCTCTTTCTTGTTTTCTATCTGTATATATCTATCAATACCCAATTGTTATTTGCATATTCCTTTGTGATCTTCTGGCTGCAGAACATGATTGCCTTGAAAGGATTACGGTGCAATATCCTGGAAACTAAATCTCCTTGTGAGTCACCCAGAATCCTGTTTGGTCCATTCAATTTATTTTCTCAGAAAAGATGGAAAAAACCAGTGGATTCAGCCCAAACACGCTTGGAGAACCGAACAAGGGATCTCAAATTAGACAAACTCATGATCCATCAAAATAAACTTAAAATCATCCTCAAAATTTACGAACTGATGTCGAATAGGAAGCGAGGTCCGTATGTTTCTGTACAACTGATGTCTCGTTGGAAGAACCTGATTGGACTGCATGTGGGTATTGGAACGTTTCTTCACAAATATCCACATGTTTTTGAGGTGTTTACACACCCCAGTGGAAGGAACTTGTGTTGTAGGATTAATGGTAAAATGAGGGATTTGATCAACGAAGAAGAAAAAGTCTCTAGAGAATGTGAAATGGATGTGGTGAAGCGGATTAAAAAGTTATTAATGATGTCAAAAAATCAGACTCTTCATGTTCATGCTTTGAGGTTGATGAGGAGAGAATTGGGTTTGCCTGAGGATTTTCGGGAGTCAATATTAGGTAAGTATACATTGGATTTTAGGTTAATTGATTTGGAAACTGTCCAATTGGTTAATAGAGACGAGACGTTAGGCCTGGCTGAAGTTGAAAAATGGAGAGAGAAAGAGTACATCGAGAAATGGTTGAGTGAGTTTGAAACAAGATTTGCATTCCCTATTAATTTCCCTACTGGCTTCAAGATTGAGGGAGGATTTAGGGACAAGTTGAAGAATTGGCAAAGACTTCCGTATTCAAAGCCTTATGAGAGAAAGGAAGCTGTTTGGGTGCGCACATGTGGAGGGATTGAGCAGTTTGAGAAACGAGTGGTTGGGATTATACATGAGTTGCTTAGCTTGACTGTGGAACAAATGGTTGAGGTTGAAAGATTATCTCATTTTAAGAAGGATTTTGGTACGGAAGTTAATATGCGTGAATTACTGTTGAAGCACCCTGGCATATTCTATATATCCACCAAGGGCGGCATCCAGACTGTTTTCCTTAGAGAAGCATATAGCAAGGGGTGTTTGGTTGTGCCAAATCCGATCTATGTTGTTCGAAGGAAAATGCTGGACCTTCTTGTGCTGGGCTGCCAAAATTCTCGAGAATTTGGAGCCCAAGAAGAAATCAAGGATGTGAATAAAAATTTGATCTGTAATGAAGATAGGAAAGATAGAATAGAGGGAGACTCAGTCCCAAATTTTGATAACTATGATAAAGGAAGCTCCCATGGTAGTGGTTGTGGTTTTTCTACTTTATCCAAGGATTAGTTCCAAAGTGAAAGGCAATGTGCCTTTGAATTGATTAAAGTTGACTGAATTATGTTTCACAATTGTTACACAACATGGTCTTCTTTGCTTAGTTTATTGGATCTAGGTGTGAGTGGACATGGAGAAGGATGGGGCTGGTAAGTTACTTTTCCCTTCTAATCCTTGAGGTTGCATGTCAAATGCTGCTACTTTATCTATCCCTATAACATTTCACTCCTCAAGATGCAGTATCATGGCCGTTTAAATAGGTTTTGTTGTGAGGATGTATTTATGCCTTATGCCTTATCCATTATCCGTTACTTGAAACAATTTGAAACTAAACCGAGCTTGACAAACTTTTCCCAAGGCTTTATGGATGAAGGTATCAGCTTCCGATATTCTTATTCAGAGTTCTCATTCTTTCATTATTTAGATTTCTTTGTGCTAGTAAGCCCTCTCTAATGTTGGACTTTAGCAGCAATGCCATTTATTTATGATTTGGTTAATGACAGGGCATAATGTAAAGATACCGATGTGCTTTTTTTCTTTTTAATTATGTCATTAAGTAATTTAAATTTTAATCCACCTGCTGTAGACTGAAGAAGTGCTTGTTCATGGTTATTTCTATTCCTTTTACTTGGGTTGATCTAGCATCTGGATGTTCCCAATCGAATGTTTAATTTTCCCTGTTATGTTACTTTTTTCCTCATGGATAGGCTAAATTTCTCAAGTAGACTTCTTTCTATTTAGGAGGGGGAGTTCATGTAATGTTTCCAAAACCTCTATTGTTGAGTAGTATGCTGGATGTGTTTGAAATTGATTTTTGATCTTTGCAGCTGCAAGTTTGTAGCGATGGGAACAGAATGCTGCTCTCCAAAATCATGGCTTGAACACTTAACTGCTTCAATGTCCTGGTTTCATTCTCCCATGAGGCTTAATTTTGTCCTTCATACTCTAAGCCGAGCACCTTAAAAACACTGGAATATTGCAAGAGGAAAATTTTTAAGGGCATCCGACTACATATCTGAGTGTTGATGAAGTGAAAAGGAAAATCATGGAAAGAAAATGCAGGTACGGCCTTTTTCTGTATCATGGTAAGTGGCTTCCCCTGCAGGACCCCTGATTAATTGAGGTAAAGGAATGGTATGGACAAGACATGCTGGCGTGGATTGTATGGTGGTGTTTGCTTAGCTATATTGCAACATGTATGTATGCATCAAAAGGTTTAGACTTTAGGAAATAAGAAAGGAGGGAAAAAAAAAGGGAAACTTAAATGTGGTTGTGAAAGCAACAGAAGGCGTACAAGCATATGCTAGATAGTATTTGAAAGGTATATGTATAAGGGAATGGTGTGCTCCTCACCGCAATTTGTAAACATGTTGCTTCTATTCCAATATTCCCACCCTTCAGACCCACCTTTTCAACCACCATTGAATCATCAATGGAATAACAAGTAAGTCATCCGATAATCAAAGCTGTTGCATGCTTTATGCGTACTTATATTTTATAGGTATAGCATTCAACATCTGTTCATTTGTTTTTTATACTTTGCAGTAATATTTTTCTGAGTTGCGCATATGCAGTTTGCATTATGTATATATAGACATATGCTCCTCTTGCTCTTTTCTCTGCCGCTTTTCCTTTTTTTGGATGATATTCTGCGGTCTTGGATTGGAAAAAACTTTGTATACATATATTGTATAATATTTAATTAAATATATATTATATGGACACCGTGGAGGGAGAGGAAGTATATAACAAGTAGATAGGGACCAATGGCAGCATGATATTGACCCTACATTCAATTTGGTCTTGTGCCCAAACCAGGGCTTTAGGCTTTCATGCCCAAATAAATAAACAAAGGGATCAAAGATCAAGGTGGGGGATAGATTCGCTTTGTCTGCAGATCGATTTAATTAATAAATATCTCTTGTTGGAAAATAAATTAATTAAACAAATAAAAAGAGAAACGGGAACTGAATTTTTGCCGTAAATATGCACAAATATATACGGATTGTGGACTGTGCATATAAGTTTTGTGATACAAGTAAGACGGGGAGAGAGCTAGCCTCTGATCTCAATATCGTGCTTTTTAGATACAGGTATACGTACATATATAATATATACTAGTATAGAGAAGTTGCTTTAAGAAAAAAGGCGCATCAATTAAGTGAACGGATAAGATTTCTGTACGCATAGATATATATATGTATGGACACGTAAAAGAAAGCATTTCTTGAATCCTCAATATACCTCTCCAACCCCATCATCATGTTTGGTTGGCGCCGTGGGAAGACTCATTTGTCCAATGCCATGTCTGTAAGTCGTCCTGATCTTTTTCCGGCTCAAAATTACTACATGTCCTTTCATCGGTCCCGCACACACACATATATATATAATGTATGACAAACGAGTCACTAGGTGTTGTTCGTGTGACAGATTGTGGAGCTGTTGGTGCATATGGATTGTGAAGGATGCGAGAAGAGGGTTCGAAAAGCCATCTCAAAAATCGATGGCAAGATTTATTTTCTTGATTATGCCCTCTCTCTTTCTTGAGACACTGGCTACACATATATCCACATATCTATGTACATACGTTTGTATGTGTATGTGTGTGTGTGTATAGATATATATATATATATATGTATATGTATATGTATATGTAATGGGTGGATGGGGGGTGGATGCAGGTGTTGACAGCTTAGAGATAGACATGGATAAGCAGAAGGTGACAGTGATGGGGTACGTAGAGCAGAGAAAGGTGTTGAAGGCGGTGAGAAGAACGGGGAGGAAGGCGGAGTTTTGGCCTTTTCCATACGACGGTGAATATTATCCATACGCCTCGCAGTATCTTGACGAATCAACCTTCTCTTCTTCTTATAATTACTACATGCATGGCTTCAATGAAAGCGTGCATGGCTATTTCCCCGACCAGGCTTACTGCACCGTCCCTGATCATACCGTTCATCTTTTTAGTGATGATAATGTTCATGCTTATTGCTCTATTATGTGAACCTCCTCTATCAATAATATTATTATATATATATATATATATATATTGTTAGATATGTGTGTGTGTGTGTGTGTGTGTGTGTTTCTTTTGCTTCTTATAAAGTTGTTGATTCTTATAAAACTATTTACTTTCCTTTTTAACAATTTATATTAAGGCTTTAGTTGTATTATTTTTTATTAGAAAATTAATTAGTATGCAAATGTTACTTAAGGATGCAAAAATATTTTTTGAAAAATGTTGCACCAAACTATGCAATATTTAGAGCACATTTACTAAAAATTCTATAATTTTTTATACATATTTGAAAGTAAATTTAGTTTTTTAAGATTAATAAATTTAAATTTTCTTTTCTTTTAACTATTGAATTTTAAAACATATATATATATATATATATATATATATTTCTTGAATAATTAACATGGCCCCAACAAATCATTCAATTAACAAATCTTAATGGGCTTCATGGGCTATTTAAAGCCCATCTAAGTTTTAATACTCTTCATTATTGAAACGAGCTGCCAATATCGAATAGGTGGAGTCGGTAACCAACGACTAAGCAAGCGAGCGGCCATGGCAGAGCCACGACCTCGTTGCTTAATCCACACTTTGATTTCTGATCTAATCGAATTTCCTGTTTTTTTTTTTTGTGTGGATTTGGCGCTGTAAGCTGGTAACTCAGAGCATCAAGCGGTTAGGGTTTGATTAGGGAAGATAGGTAAAGAGGATGGATCACTACAAGGTGTTGGGGTTAGGGAGGAAGGCCACCAAGGAAGAAATTAAGGAGGCTTTCAGGCGAATGGCGGTCAAGTATCATCCGGACAAGCATTCTCATTCCCCACAATCTGTCAGGGACGATGCGCTCCTCCGATTCAAGCAGGTCTCTGAGGCCTACGAGGTGCTAATCGATGATAGCAAACGCGCGCTTTATAACTCTCATATGCACGCTTCTGCCTCCAGTTATGGCTACGCTTCTAATCATTCTTATCGCTCCGATTATGGTTATGGTTATGGATATAGTCAAAGTCGTGGTTCTTCTACGGCTGGGTTTCGCTCTGCTTATGCTTCTAATTCTCCCAACCTTATCGACGTTGTGCTTCGCTTCTTAACCACGCGACAGTTTTTCCTCAGTTGTGCCTTTGCCGGGTGATTCTCTCACTTTTCTTTAACTCAATTTTCGTTATATTAGAATTGTTAGTTCTAATGATCGATACTTTTTCTATACCTGAATTTGTCTTTGGACATGCATGCTTTGAAACCGTTCCTGTTCTTTGCATTTATATATTCATGCTTTGGATTTCAACATTTTTTTTCAATGAATAGAGGAAGTCTGATTCTCTGTTGTTTTCTTTCCAGTGCCTTATTTGGTGGGTTTGTTGTGCTTGATAAGAGCGGGGATGCACTGTGGAAAATCCATAATCCCGGGGTACGTTTATGCTTGCTATGATTTTACCTGCTTCGCTGTTTTTTAAGTACCTGTTTCTACCGAATGAACCCTACATCCGTCCAAATTTACGGCTTCTGGGGTTTATTCTATGACTTGTTTTATTCTATGATTTGGGTGTAAGGGTGTAACTGGTTTACTCTCATTTTATTATTTTAATTTAAGAATTAGTACTACTGATTGAGAAGAAAAACAGAAAGAACAGAAGGCAGTGAGAAGAAACCGCCTTTCTGGAGAATGCTTTATTAGAAGAAGCTTTTCTTTTGTTACTTCTTATCAGGCTGTTGGAGAATATTCTTACTGGTCTCGGTGCCTGCTAGATAATTATAAGCTTTGATGTATGTATCTTCAGCGCATAGGGGACTACATAAGGAGTTAATTCTAAAAATCATAATGAATGAAGGAATAGTTCCAATTATAATGGGTTCTGTGTTTCAGTGGACCATCATGTGTCATATAGATGCCACTGTAGTGGAAGTAGAGAATAAGAATATTGATAGGAGAAACAATTGATTGCAGGCAGTCAAGAAAAACAAATTCAAAACATAGGTGGTCAAATGAGGAAGCTGAGGTGAGAAAGGCATATAAAGCCAGAGATGAAATCAGTTGTTGGATGGTGGCAATAGCAACAGTAGGAAATGGATTGATAAAATGATGTTTCAGATGGTTGAGGCGTGTGCAATATAGGTATAAAGACACACCTATACTGGAGCGAGTTCATCTGAGTAATTGGTAAAAATGGGGTGAGATTAGAATCCATGTTTATCTGATGGTGTTAAGGAATTCTAATTGAGATAAGTTGATTTGAGCCAATCAGGTAGGAATCCCTATCTGAGATAAGTTGATTTAAGTTGTTACACTAATTCGGTAATGACTTTGGTTATTGTAGTATATGGCCATTGGAATGTTGTTCGGCTTATATCTAGGTGGGGATTTACTCGTAGATTGTTATAAGCGATTAATGTAGGATGATTGTTTTAGAACGGTTGCACGTAAGAAATGCTACATCAATAAATATAGGTACTGCTGCAGTTTCTCATATACCTGTTATAAGGATAGCCAATGAGCAATAATCGGCCCCATGTGAAAATTCAGAATTAAGTTAAAAGTAAGGGAAGAGTTTGGGAGTTATACTTGTAATCTTTCAGTTTAATAGGATTGTCAAAGAGAACAGGAAAATGTCTCTTGACGGTCAGAACTGTGTAATCTATTCCAAATTTATGATTTACAGTAATGCATGCTGATCATTATCTTATGCTTGAAAATTTAAACTGTTGTGAATAAATATAGAGAGGTAAGGAAAGATTGCTCTTGCAAAATTCTGCTGTAACTATGCCTGACTTCCTACTTGTACTTGTTTAGAATGTTTGAATTTTCGCTGCAAGGAAGCTTGTTTTAAGAGTATTAACAGAATTGTATTTGGATTGCAGAAATCATTTGAAGAAGCCATGGAATCCATTGAGAAAGCCAAAGACCGTAGAGATAAGACGTAGCAGCATATATTGGTGTTCTTTCCTTCTCTACTCTGGGTAATTAGCCTAATGTTTCATTCTCATTAGGTCGGTATTTCGGGTTCCAGAATTATATTTATTACCTGTTGTATGCACTTTTTTTTTTTTTTTATTTTTTCCTTTTCCACGTGGTCCTCCCAATGCTAGGAAAGTCTTCAGTGGCTAGATATATATTTCTGTATATGTAGGTAGTTTTTTTTAGGGGTAGAAGCGAAGGAGGATACAGAATCGGGTAGTTGAACCAGGGAAATAAGAGGTGGACATAACTATCCATTACCAATGTCTGCTTGGTTTGTAAGTACATATAGTTAATTGTACATTCATTAATTCCTGAATATAAGAATAATATTGATGAATCATTCTCAATAATGCGAATTCAATCCAATTTGACTTGTATCCGTGTTTTTATCAGACATTTGTCAATACCTTCAGTTGATGATTATAGGATTCCGGTTATGCACTTGTTTAAAGATTTTTGTTTGCTCTGCCAGTCGGCAATAAAGTTGGATTTTGTGGGTCCTAGATTATGTCGCATGTAGATTGGTGAATCACAACCTTTTTGTGAATTGGAGTGTAGCAGCCAGGCAAGTCAAGCAAGTCTTCTGCAACTGCATCGTTTGGCCTGGTTGCCTCATTTATGTTTTAACTTTTTCTGTGTTAATATTATTTTTGTCTTTTGACGTTAATTTGAGGTTTATACGGAGATACATTCTGGTCAGATTCGGAGGGAGAATATCGAATATTTATATATGCGGCCAAGTAAAATATAATATAAACAATCAATGAGTAATTTAGTTTTACCCAAAGATGAAAGCATTATTACAATGGGATACGGTGGAAGTTAAAGTAAAGAGACAAATTACGAGTGTTGGGAATAGCGATGAATGCTTCCGTTAAAGTTTCATACAAATCATAGTTTTAATTCAGTTTAATATTTTGAAAGTGAAAGTAGATAAACAATTATAATACAATTTTTGAAAATGCATTCTCTCATAAATAGAGAGAGAGAGAGAGAGAGAGAGAGAGAGAGACAGAGTATTTAATCCGAAAAGAGTTTAGGTAATTTTTGTTTGGTTCTTCACAAATGAAATTTGATGAATCATTATTAAATTTTATATAAAAATCATTTTCTTATTACTTTACTGAATATAATCAAATTGCTACCAATTTTCTTCATTTCATTGCTGTTGCATGATTAATTTCAAAAGTTTGAAAACGAAAAAGGTCAACCGAATCCAATGACATGTCTGGCCCAAACCATTGGAGAAGTTGATGTCGCGTCGGGTCGACAGGAGCGAAAACAGATAACAACCCGACATTTCTAAGACCCCGAAAGCTTTCGCACTCGGAACACTCTCCATACTCCTCTTCATACCGCCGCCGGGACTGAACCTGCTTCAATCCATATCCACAAGAAATGGCCCCGGGTTCTGCGATACTTGCCCGAAAATCATCCCTATTGCTCCGTTTTGTGGCCTTCTGTCGTAAACCCACTTCGCGTTTTGCTTACCAACCGTCGCTTCCTGCATTTCCTGCCCACGCTAAAGGACTTCTGGC